TTTCTCAACAAAACCCGTTTTCTTGAACCTTGACCTCTTATTGGAGTCGAATCGGTAGCATCCTTTCTTCGACATATCTATCTTCAAAGCCTACGTCATGGCAACTTCAAGAGCCATGTCACGGACGTTGGCCGCTGTCGCTCGGCCCGTCGCAGAGACATCTTGCCGAGGAATTCAACGATGGACTCGTTCAATCAGCACCGTCCGGCCACAACTTCTTGCCGGTCCGTTCGCTACACGTCCCCTTGCACAGCGACAGCGCAATATTCCAACAACCATACCAAGCCTCGCCGGTGTCGGTAGCGGGATCCGAACCATCTTCATCCAGACGGAGAACACCCCGAACCCAGATGCCCTCAAGTTCCTACCGAACCATCGAGTTGTGCCTGAGGAGCTGTCTACACCTTTTATCGAGTATCTCAACCCCCGAGCAACCATTTCTCCGCCATATCCTTCTCCACTCGCTGCCAAGCTCATGAATATTGATGGAGTTACATCGGTATTCTACGGCGCCGATTTCATTACTGTTACGAAGGCTGCAGATGCCAATTGGGCACACATTCGACCGGAGATCTTTGCCCTCATCACAGAAGCCATCACTGCAGGTGAGAAGATCGTCACTGTCTCCGAACGCCGGGAGAGTGAGGCCGCTGCGGCCGAGGAGGAGGATAGCCTTGCGTACAATGAAGACGACAGTGAGGTTGTTGGTATGATCAAGGAGCTTCTTGAGACACGAATTCGACCAGCTATCCAGGAGGATGGCGGCGACATAGATTTTCGAGGTTTCGATGACGAGGGTTATGTGCATCTCCGACTGCGGGGTGCCTGTCGTACGTGCGATTCAAGCACTGTCACTCTCAAGAATGGAATTGAGGGCATGTTGATGCATTATGTAGGTCCTCCATTATGGCTTACACCGTACTGTCTTAGGCTAACATAACTTCCAGATTGAGGAGGTAAAAGGTGTCAAGCAAGTGATGGATCAGGAGGAGGAAATTGCTTTGCAGGAGTTCGAAAAGTTTGAGGAAAAGCTCAGGCAGCAAAAGGGAGTCGCCAGCTCGGCAGCGTAGAATGGCTAAAACAAGGATTATCCTTATATGTATGATATTTTGGAGGCAATTTGATGATACCCACGGAATCTATCCCCTCGCCTATCTCACCACTGTAAAGCGCTTGGGGAATGCTTCTAATCACGATTCGACGTTCGGACCAAGGCTTCTTGTGATTGATTGGAAATCCGCATGCACGGCATATCGGCCCTGTGGCCTATTTTTGAGAGCGGAGGTGCTTTGGGCAGTGTCGGATCTAGCTGAGGGCTAATCCCAACTGAAAATAGAGCATATAACCCAATTGAACAAGCCAGGGATAGTTGCATCACGAGAATGCCGCTGCTACCGTGCTATGCCCATTACTGCAGGAGCTCTCGAGATAGACGACAGGATTTCCAGAACAGATCGGATTAGTCGACGTTTCGCTGTTTGAAGCAAAGGGGTTGGTGGAAGAAGAGATCGGAGATCAGCCTAAAGCTGACGCTTTGGGAACATTATTGCGAGAGAAATGACACCTTCACCATGCCAGCAGTGTTAGGAGGTCGTACTGCCTACGTGCGCTTTGACGAACACTGGCTGTAGGGAACTGGGTTGTTTCGTATACGATCCATATATCACAAGACAAGCCACCTTTTATGTATTGGTAGACTCGCTATTGACAAATCGAACGGGGGTGCCGTGTCTGGATTGGACAGTGAGGATCTGACTTTGACATATCCGTAGTGTGATGTTTCGAGGAGTCTGTAAGTGCACCAGGATGTTCCAAAAGAATATCATCCGTAAGTCGTTGTGGTATTGGCGGGGTTTGAAATTACCGTCAACGAGTGAGTCTCATACGCGGATGTAAATGCAGATGCGGGCGCGTTGATCTCGCTACCTCCTTGCTTGTCTTTGTACGGTCAACAATGCATGGACATCAATTGACAGCCACCTTCCAGGAAAGACTGGATTGAGAAGTTGGCAGCTGACTTTACGAGATTTCAGATGTTCTTATGACTTTGGCTTGTCGAAAAAAGATCCGCAAAGAGCTGTAGGGGACCCCAGCAGCGATACACCATCCCCCACAAACATTGACTACCTATACCTGGTCCACCAAGACTTTGGGACTTCGGGTCTTTGGGAAACACACGCTAGATGGTATGGATCCGAAGAAACTGCGTCGCGAAATGCTCGAGTACACTGCAATTGGCCCGGTTGGCGCGATCTGGAAGCTCTCGGGCAGGGTTTATTTTCGGCGTAACACTGTCTTGAAAGAGTAACGTTGGGTCAGATAATAAACTACGGATACGGGAATTGGATATTGAATTTGGACCCGCCGACAGCTCCAACTGCTGGATTAGCCGTACCAGTTAAGAGCCGCCCTGAATACCCTTGGCTCCGCCGGGAGAATGTCACAAGTCGATGTCGACGAGATTCTGCGTTCCGGTTGTGGATGGACATGCAGGGCCGGAGAGCCGCCGGCATCATTATCATGATGCAGTACCTAAGTAATAGCGAGAGAAGGCCCTGCAGTGATATGCCGGGAGCCCTTGAGGATGACCATGTAGGTATCTCTCTCCTCTGGTCTGGCCTCCAAGTACAATCAAGCACAGTACCTACCCATAGGTTAGTAGGCATGGGCCGGATATCTATCCAGAAGAAGCTTGTGAAGCGACCGGCAAAAAGCTGGAGAATGAATTCAACCGCGAATTGAACTTAGCTGAAGAGAAGCCACTTTGCACTAGAAGCCCGTTGCAGTGGGATGGCGTCTTGGGATTCTCGGATCCTGTTTCTGTGATTGGCGCGGGAGTCGATATGCAGTGGGTGATACAGCCTCCACCGAGGCAAACCCCACAATCCCCTCATACCTAGTGAGCGACGTGCGAGAGCTGTTGGCGTGTCCGGATCTCGAGGCCCTGCGTTATTGTTTCAACGTGGGGAATCAGTTTTGCCTTGGTACCAGGCAACCAAACATATACCAGGCGATAGCAGAGCGCATGACCCCAAATTTTCTCCGTGGGAGAAATGGGTATGATTTAAAAAGACCCTTTGCGCCTCGCTCTGCGGGTTCGTTCCCTCGACTTGTGTCTTCTTTAAGCCTTTCTTGAACTCAAACGTCTCATAGCACCGATATCAGACTCCAGTCGTACGAAGTAAAACACACACATCGCCCACCATGAGCCCTTCAGCAGTCGAAGGAAACGGGGTCTCGGATGTCAAGACGACTCTCAAGCCTAACATTGGCGTTTACACCAACCCCAATCATGACCTCTGGGTAACGGCTGCTGAACCCTCTGCTGAATCCGTCAAGTCCGGCTCCGACTTGAAGCATGGCGAAGTCAGTGTTGCTATCCGCAGCACTGGTATCTGCGGGTAAGTTGCCGTCAAACATGTTCTGACCCCGCCTCAATTAGAACAACCACTGACCGGGGTATAGCTCCGATGTTCACTTCTGGCATGCTGGCTGCATCGGTCCTATGATCGTGGAGGGCGACCACATCTTGGGCCATGAGTCGGCCGGCGAGGTTATCGCCGTGCACCCTTCTGTCAGCCATCTCAAGGTTGGCGACCGGGTCGCTGTCGAGCCAAATATCCCCTGCGGTACCTGCGAGCCCTGCCTTACTGGCCGATACAATGGTTGTGAGAGCGTCCTGTTCCTGTCAACACCACCTGTTCCTGGCATGTTGCGCCGATATATCAACCACCCGGCTGTCTGGTGTCATAAGATTGGAAACATGTCGTTTGAGAACGGCGCTCTCCTCGAGCCCCTCAGTGTTGCCCTTGCTGGCATGCAGAGGGCCCAGGTCGCCCTCGGAGACCCCGTCCTGATTTGCGGTGCTGGACCTATCGGTCTGATCACCCTTCAGTGCTGTGCCGCCGCAGGTGCTTCTCCTATCGTCATCACGGACATTTCAGAGAGCCGGTTGGCATTTGCTAAGGAGCTCTGCCCTCGCGTGATTACACACAAGGTCGAGCGACTGTCAGCTGAGGACTCCGCCAAAGCGATTGTTAAGAGCTTTGGAGGCATTGAGCCTAGTGTTGCTCTGGAGTGTACTGGTGTCGAAAGCAGTATTGCCGCTGCCGTCTGGTCAATGAAGTTTGGTGGCAAGGTCTTTATCATCGGCGTCGGGAAGAACGAGATCAACATCCCCTTCATGCGCGCAAGTGTACGGGAAGTCGACATTCAGCTACAGTACCGTTATTGCAACACCTGGCCTAGAGCCATTCGCTTGGTTGAGAGCAACGTAGTTGACCTCTCAAAGCTCGTCACTCACAAGTTCAAGCTTGAGGATGCCATCAAGGCGTTTGAGACGTCTGCAGATGCCAAGAGCGGGGCCATCAAGGTCATGATCCAGAGCCTGGATTGAAGACGTGAGTAATGATCAATATAAATTTGGTGCTCGGCGTATGTTTTTGATTTCTAGGCGCGCGTCCGTTAGAAGACCGTACAAATAGCCTCTATTTGGGATATAGACATGAGAATATGAAATTTGGTGAAGAACTTTTGGCGATGAACTGGTGAATTGAACATGAATATGAATGCTTGTGCAGCCCGATAAAACAGATGCTGGATAGGAAAATGTCGAATACGCCACTTGGAAGCTTGAATTCAAGACAAGGAAATCAACAGATTTTGACTGCTGTCCTCAAGGAGTTCATTTGCAAAGATATAGCAGTAAAGATATGTATAATACACAATTCAATGAGGTTCTTGCCAGCTTGTAGGTAGACCATCCAGCGGCAGCGCGGCTAGCAAGTCCGAAAACGGTCTAGTGTCTCGAGCTGTCGGCTACAACCACCATCCAGCGAGTTCTTCCGAGCTTTTTTTCTCCCTCAGACGACCTCACTCAAGATCCAGACCCAGCTTCGACTCCATCAATTGACCACCCGCCGCCGGTCTTTTTACTCCACGGAGCTCCGATTTCGAATCTACGAGGCATCTCGCACTCTTTTACTGCCTGATCCGTCACCATGTCTTCTCTCGCTCGTCCCATGCTCCGTTCGCCCGCTCTCCGCGTCGCCGCCCGACGCTTCGAGAGCACCGCCGCCCAGAAGGCCACCGAGAACGCAAAGCAGGCTGCCTCCAAAGCCACCGAGAATGCTAAGTTGGCTGCCTCAAGGGCCCAGGAAGGTCTGTCGCGTGTCACAACCGCTGCTGGTCCTGCTATTGCTGGTTACGCCAAGGGCGTTGCCAGCACTCTAGGCAAGGTTGGCGGGCGAACGGGCAAGGTCATCGGCTTCATTGAACGTACGTGGATCATTGCAAAAGTCACAACCGGTGGCCATTGATTGCTGACATTATAATGCAGGACAAGTCCCATTCGTCGTTTACTACTCCAAGGTCGCCCTCGAGCTGGGCAAGTTCATTTTCCACAATCAGAAGATGAGCCCTCCGTGAGTTCGCACGAGTCCTATGTATGGCGGGGCATCGGCTAATTTATATCTCGCAGCAACCTGGCCACCTTCCAAAACACATACCAGAGCATCATCAAGTCCATCCAGAACCGTACCATCATCCAGTCTTCTCAGAACGCCATCCAGCAGGTACGGAATATCGGTCCTGCTCAGCTCGCCGCTGGCGGTGTTGTCGCAGCTGAGGTCCTCGGCTTTTTCACCGTTGGTGAGATTATTGGACGATTCAAGCTTGTTGGCTACCGTGGCGAGGCCTCTTCCCACCACTAAATATGTCTCGTGTAGTAAGGAGCAGGAGTTGCGATGATAGTTGAGTGCCGGACGATGTGATAACAAATAAGGATGAATGGGCTTTAGACTTGGTTCTCCCCGGCTGAGGACGCCTGAAAAGGGCTGGTTGGAGACCGTTTGTTTGAGGGGGAGTTGAAAACTGGGAGACTTGGGAATACCGGTCTCACCGGACCTGTGATGTTTGTCCTCTGAGCACTTTTCTTTTGTAGAACTGTACATCAACCAGCCTCTGGCGGGCTGCCCCCTTCGTGGACAGCTTTCAACAATGATATTTAATAACTGTATGAGCCTTCTTGTGATAAACCAAATGCTCCTTAATTGCAATCGTCTCGATAACTCACATAACCTGTCATGATGTCTAGTCTGACTACCTGGGAGGGGTTAACAAATGCCAAAGACTGCCTGCCACAGTCTGATGTTACTGACTCGCAACTAAGACTCTTGACGTGGTGTATCCTAGGTGGCCCAAGTTGTCTACGATCGGGATTTTCTGGAATAGACCATTGCTATTGCTTTGCCTCGAGACTTTCTTTTTCTTTTTCAAGAGAGGAAAGTTGATTTATGGAATTGTCCTTAGACCTGACTGTCATTTAACTTTATACCTAACTAGGAGCAATGACAGTTGGTGAGTCCTAGAACTATAGTATAGGTCGAGAAATGAGTCAGTATGACTACAGATGGGCCTTCGTATAGGGCCTTCTTAGTACGTGGTCCCTATACTGACAATGCTTCTGAAGACTGAAGACGTCTTTCAATACGAACCTTGTTTCCTGTGCAAAAGGAAGTTGCGATTGAAGGGGGATACGCACGAGGAAACTTATTCCACAGCCTTACTCAACCCCACGAAATACAAGCTCACAACTTTCAAGTCCATTCAGCGTACTTTATCTATATGAATATATGTAGGGTAAACACCCATGGAGTGGCAAATGCGTGCCACAATATACTTTGAACGTATTCACATTTCTGTATGAGAGTTTGGGTCTATTATGAGTGAGCTCTGCAAAGCTCCCAGATCCATTTGCCAGATGATACCGGCAAATGTAATTTCCTCGACCTCCTGAGTGAGTTGATATTCCACGATCCCTGAACTGAGCAAACTAGCTCACAGGGGCAAGTCTTGCGAAGGACGTGCTCAATCCTCATCTGCCATATCAACTTCTTTGTCATAGCTTGATGAACCTCGGGCTTGTCCACCACCTTCTGCTTCTGGAAATAAGGACAGATATGGGGTGTATAAGCCCTTTCTTCCGATGTTACCTCCTCCACACAGAAGAAGTCAATCAGGCGTCTAATAGACGACAGAATGACGGACCACAAAGACAGACGTGGGAGTACAGCCGCGCGCGAAAATAAGATGTGGAATATATTCACCGAACGCAGGGCGATGCGGTTGAGTATTCCGTATGGTCCGGACCCTGGCCGATGCTGAAGGCCCGTCCCGACACGCGCGGACCTAGGATATTATGGAGTCCGATATTGGCCCTTGGCAAAAACGGCGTCGTTCTTACCAGCGCTTCTGCCACAACAGGTAGCAGAACCCTTGCCAGCGAAAGAGAGCGCAGATAATATGGCCCTTGGCAGATGATTGTGGCCAGGTGACCGTTATCTAGCGGTCAGATAATTTGAGAAGATCGACAGCCCTGTTCAGGACGGTGGACTGGTTGATGTGATCAAGACCCCGCCCGCTGTTGGTGATACAATTGAGAATCCTTGCCTGTTGGTGACCGTTGGTACCATGCTGCCATTGAGGTAAGGCGTGTCTTCAAATTCAAGGGGCCCCCGGATATGGCAAGCGAGAAGTACTGCAGCATTGGGAAATCGTGGTACCATTTATGGATCGTCAGGATGCAGTTGCGCGCAAAAGCGCTGGCGCCGGCGCTTGAAACCCTGCCAATTCACCAGGCCGATTTGGATTGGAAACCATGTCATTCCCCAAATCGACGGACCGACGGCTTCACCACGCTCCTCAGCGTAATGTGCTTCGAACAATGCGCACCAGTATTGCCAAGGCTGTTCGTATTCCTTGCGTTATGCGGTGAATACCCCCCGCTTGAATGAGCATTTGGCATTACTGTTGAGGTCCGGGCTTCCTAGCCGTCCAGACATGACTGCGAAAGCGTTAGTAGGCCATCAAGTGTGTCAGTAGGAGGCGTTTGTAGACTCACATATTACAATAAGTGTGATAGCGCAAAACACACGTTTCGCGCTTCGCTCTCTCGCATAGCTCACGGACTTCCTCGGCCTCGAGTCCGAGTTTCTCGATTAGGGGTTTTAAGCTCATGGCCTCCAGACTATGAGACAGTCCGATGTTGAACCATCGAGCGATTTCACGTTCATTTCGATCAGCAGACCAGGGGCAAACATAGGCCTTGATCACCTCCTGCTTGACATCTGTGAAACCTGTAGCTTCGAGCATTTGCCGATGTTCCTGTGGTATGACTCTGACACTGCGGTTGAATCGATCCATGCCGTCGAGAAAAAGCTCTGCCCACTTTACGAATGCGGAATTTGCTGGGCGTTCATCATCATCACATCGGGGTATCCAGTCAACCTCAATGTGCTCTAGGAAGCCAATGCCTGGAGTCAAGTGCCTAGTGAGGTATCAGTGCGATGCTCAAAGATATAGTTCCAAACATACTCAAAGGCATTGTGGTAGACTTGAGGCCACAAGTCCGTCTGAATACTACCAAGTAGCATTCGCATATGAATCAAATCGCAGTCCGCCAGTAGGGGCCCCCAAGACGGTTCTTCAATGTCATACTGCTTTGGCATAAAGCCAGGGGGGATCCTATCTACATTAGCCGATGGCCTACAAAGAGCGAGTGTGAGCGAGCATACAATGCTGGTTGAATCTGATTCAGGTCTACGGCCATGATCTGGGCATCTGAGAGACATCTTCTTTAGGTCAGTAACGTGGTGATAAACGAGATCAATGGCACAGGCATTCATACTCTTCGGCCACATTGATTGCCCAAATACCTGTGCCCGTACCAATATCCATGATTCTGGGCGAGGTGCGTCTGATGGGAGCTAGAAATGGCTTATTGTCTCGTGCCAGAAGGAAGACTTTATGAAATATATCCAAACGATTCAACTCTTCCTGTTGCTGGTCAGGTGGCGTACGATATTGTTATTTTCAGACGACTTACTGAGTCAATTGGAAATAAGTATTTGCCAGGTTTCCAAGAGCCATAGAAACGGCCATGTTGCCAGAACCCATCTTGAAGGTATCGCCCTTCCGACTCGTTCACGCTGCATTGCATATGTAAGATTGGCTGCCCGACAGAGAAATCTATAGCATACCTGTTTTGAGGAGGCATTACAACCATGGATGAAAACCGTCGAGGCTGCAATGTCCCAATGAAGCGCAGGGCCTTGGACGAGGGCCACAAGGCAAGGCTGCAGCAAGACGTAATTTGCCGGCGGGAGATTACACAGGCAATCCGAGCTGCGTTTTTGAATCCAGAATGAGCCAAGTTTCTAGTTCTGGTGGAGAATATCGCTGCGAGAGTTAGCAGACGCACGAAAGTGAAGAAGACAAGATCCACCAGGTGAAGTATAAAGAAAAAATAAAGCGAATATTGGCGAAGGAATGAACGTGAGAAGCAATGCGGGTCCGGCAGAACGAGAACCTAAATACTTTCAAGGGAATGCGATATTTGAGTTGTCAGGACAAGCCCAACATGCTTCGGGCACCTTGGGACTTGATGGGTTGTTTCAACCAAACTTGAGGATCGCCCGGGCATACACACTAACACAGCCCAAAGAACCTCAGCGGCGATAAGGCCAGGAGGGCACAATATTGCAGTTGTGCTTATAGCAGCTCCTGTGGATCAAAGCAGAAAAAGCTTCACCCAATGGTATTTATGGCCATATTTGAGTTGGCTGAGAGTCCTGGGGGAGCAGAAGACTTGAAAAGAGAAGAGAGAGTAGGATGTCTGAGAAGCCTCAGGGTGAACCCGCACAGAGGGTTTATAGTATGAACTTACCGAATATGAGCGAGTCCAGAGGCCGAAGCACGTGTATTAGAGAGACCAGAAGCCGTCCAGGAAAATGCCAAGAATGTTATGGAGTGTCGAATAAGAGGTTGAGAAGATAAATTTACGCGAATCGCAAATTCATCCGAGATGAAACGTCGGTGTCAGGACTTGAAGATGTTGTGCTGGGCGTAGGTTGTGTATATATATAATGCAACTGGACAGAAGACCTCCTGGATGCATTCCAATTTCAGTTTCTGTGTCGAGAATACGGCCAAGTTGGCTCACGAAGCAAGGAGATGGGAGGCGGTTGTGAGATGAAGGGCTCAACTGAGTTGAGTTTGAAGACTGTAGGAGGGGTTTTTGTTCTCTCGTGATCCTCTTTCCGAGACTTGTGGACCGAAAAGTCTGAGCCCAGGTGAACACCGAGTAGTTAATTGAGATAATAGCGGCTCGTAGCTGGAGGTAAACAAACGCAAAGGGCATTAAAAAGGTCATGGGCAAGAAAGAAGCCGGAAAAGATGAGGAGGAAGGTTGTTGATACTTATTGTCGCCAGCAAGAGTGTGGAGCTGGAGCGTGGGACATGGATACAGCTAAGGTACCTAGCTAACTTACAGCACCGTAGGTAGCTTAAGGCACGACAGGCTAGCAGGGCAAGGCGAGGCAAGGCAGCCCTAGGCACAGCGTTAGAGGTACAGACGGGTACGGGTACAGGTACAGAGACAGAAGCAGAGACAAGCAGAGACAAGCAGAGACAGAGACAGAGACGGGCATGGATGGATCCAATGGGTCCTACCTAGCAGTTTAGGTGGACGTGGGACCTTGGACCTTGGACCTTGGACCTTGAACCTGTGGGTGTGTGCCCCTCGAGGGTTCGCCCCTCTTCATTTTTGCATTACACCCCCTGTTGAGATGACGGCTGTTGGTCGAGTCCTGCTTGTTATTTGTATTGTGATTATTATTATCATGCGCCTCGAAAAGCGGTCGAAGCCTTGTGT